GGCAAGATGCCAGAGTTCTCTGGAAATCCATCATCTCCTAGGAGAATTCTACAGGTTCATGTGAGTGAGGGCATGGTTCTTATTTCTTTTGCTTCCTTTCCAGAGAATTGACTCAGCCCTTATAGGTTGATCAAAGGCCAGCCTGAGACATAGTGTCTAGCACATAGTAGGTGTTCGGTAAACATGTGAATGAACTGAACATCAGGGCAGGGACTCAAGACACTGAATGGACCCCTGGGAACTAGTTCCTATTTTTGTACTTTGGTGAAATTCGTGGGAAATTCCTTTCTATCTTTTAGAGTCTCAGTTTTTCCCACTTTAAAATGGAGCTCACAATTCTCAACTGCTTCAGAGATGGTTGAAAAAGTAGCCACCACAGAGGAAAGCCAGGATTTGGGCAGATATTATTCTAAATCAAGGCAGTAGTTCAGCATGATGATGCCAATGAGACAGGAATCAGACTGATCCCCTGGTTTTTCTACATAAACTTAAAATTTCAATTCAAATCAACTTTATTGAGGTATGATTATATATAATAAACATGTAGCATGTGTGTGTGTTTTTTTTGAGACAGACTTGTATTCTGTCACCTAGACTGGAGTGCAGTGGTGGGATCTCAGCTCACTGCAACCTCCGCCTCCCAGGTTTAAGCAATTCTCCTGCCTCAGCCTCCTGAGTAGCTGGGCTTATAAGTGCCTGCTACTGCGTCCAGCTAATTTTTGTATTTTTAGTGGAGATGGGGTTTTGCCGTGTTGGCCAAGCTGATCTTGAACTCCTGACCTCAAGTGATCTGCCCACTTTGGCCTCCCAAGGTGCTGGGATTACAGATGTGAGCCACTGCGCCTGACCATGTTTTTTTTTTTTTTTTGAGATTGAGTCTCGCTCTGTCACCCAGGCTGGAAGTGCAGTCGCACGATCTTGGCTCACTGCAACCTCTGCCTCCCAGGTTCAAGCAATTCTCTGCCTCAGTCTCCCGAGTAGCTGAGATTACAGGGGCCCACCACCACGCCTGAGTAATTTTTGTATTTTTAGTAAAGACAGGGTGTCACATCTTGGCTAGGCTGGTCTTGTACTCCTGATGTTGTGATCTACCCACCTCAGCCTCCCAAAGTGCTGGGATTACAGGCATGAGCCACCACGCCTGTCCATGTTTTTAAGAGTGTTGTGTATAGTTCATTGAGTTTTGATGAACAGATATACAGATGCAACCACCACAGTCAGTATAGAGCATTTCCATTACCCCAAAAGTTAGGCTTTACTCCTTCCCAGGCAATTCCGCCTCCCAGCCCCAAGTAACCACTGACTTGCTTTTTTTAAATATTGTATTTTTATTAAACACATTTTTTCTCATAATAAAAGTAATACATACTAATAAAGAGTCCAGAAAATATTGAAAAGTATAATAAAGAAAAACAAAAGTCTTAGTCACATTATCCAGACACAGTTCATATTCTTATTTATGTGTATTTTCTTCCCATTATGTGTGTGTGTGTGTGTGTGTGTGTGCATTTAATAATACTGACGCCATGATCTATATACAACTTCATTGGTGATTGCATATTTGTCTATGAAGATTGTATCTAAAATCATTTTGCTCACAGAGCCTCCAATTGACTCTGTATTTGATTAATGGCACCAGTTTACTCAAACTAGGAACCTGAGTTGCTATGAAGAATAGCTCGTTTTTTTTTTCCTGATACATTTTCTAGTTGGTTGTTGCTGTTGTAAAAAGAAGACCACTGAGTTTCTGTATAGTGTATTTAACTTTTATTCATTGACCTTCTTGAATTCTATTTCCTATAGTTTAAAAAAATATTTTCTTAGATATTTTAATATGTAATATTTAATATTTAGATATGTAAAATAATCTCTTCTGTGAATAATAGTCTTTTTTTACTGTCTGATTTTTATGCTTCCTTCTTTCTTTCCTTCTTTTTACTTGCCGAGTATAAATAAATCCTGGATAGGCACAGTGGCTCATGCCTGTAATGCTAGCACTTTGGGAGGCTGAGGTGGAAGGATCGCTTGAGGCCAGGAGTTAGAGACTAGCCTGGGCAACATAGCAAGATCTCATCTCTACAAAAAAAAATATGAAGTTAGGTGGGCATGGTGGCATGCATCTGTAGTCCTAACTGCTAACTACTTAAGAGGCTGAATCAGGAGGCTCCCCTAAGCCCAAGAGTTCAAGACTGCAGTAAGCTATGATCCTGTCCTTGCACTCCAGCCTGGGTGACAGAGTGAGACCCTGTCTCTAGTAAAAAGAATTAATCCCGACATGCAAAACACTGCAGAACAGTCTAGCAGCTTGTGGGGAGCCAAGGAAAGAACTCTGAGGCCCATGGAGGATGCTTTTAGGCTGAACATTCTTAAATAGCTCGAGCCCCATTAGACTTCACCTATCTATTTGCGTAGTCTTATTTTGTGGACCTGCTCCAACGCTGCTTGCTTACAATAGAGTCAAAATGAATTTCCAAATGTGACCAAGACTCATCTGGTCCTTTGCAGAGAGCTGTGCCAATCTGGGAATGAACCAAATTCATCCATGGTTTGTAACGTATAGGAAACATGCAAGAACTGCCAACTGGTTTCATCTGGGCCTATATTCTCCATAAGGTGACTTAGCAATACTTATTTAAAAATCAGGTGTGTGTGTGTGTGTGTGTGTACTTGAGCGCATGCATGCATGCACACATGTGTAGCCTCATTCTAAACTTTGGAGGGTGGGAGGAACTCATGATGGGCATTTTGTCTTCTGAGCCCATAATATACTGTGCTTGTCATGATATGTAGTATCTGCAAACTTAGGGAGAAATCTAAGTCTGACCCAGCACTGGGTAAGGCGGGTATGAGCCTGGGTGAATTTCTGAAGCCAGGGGACCCTCTATCATTTTTCATGGAACAAGCAGTAAAGGATTGTTGTTAAGGCTTGAAGGGGCGTAAAGGGAGACCTTGCCTTTGTGAGGCCTCAACTTTGTTTATAAATGTTCAGGTGGCAGAAGGAACTTGTTGGGAAGAAAATGGAGTAAGCCTGGGGGGAGGTTTGCCTACTCCTCCACATTAAGAAAAAAAAAAAAAAAAACAGGGAAAAACATAAGACCTGAGTACTGGCTTTTAAGTCTCTGTGACCTGGGTTAGAAGAGAGCTGGGTCTTCCCCCAGGAAGTATGCGGGCACCGTGACAAATAAGAATAGCCATGAATCAACTGCCCTTAGCTCTCAGAAGTAAGGGTGTGAGACAAACAACATTCCAGCAGTGCTAATTCTGCAAGGGATTAAAAAGCCAGTATTAGGCAGAAGAGGCTTCTGTGCATGCATCACTCAGAGCAGACCCAGAGTGGGGCCACTCCATCAACTGGTCACCAGCAGTGCTTGATGAGCTATGTACAAAACTGAGAGCAAGTGTTTAGAAACTTTTATAGCAATTGATCAAACAATTTTAATTTAATTTCTGTTTAATCTATTTTTTTTTTTTTTTTTTTGAGACAGAGTCTTGCTCTGTTGCCCAGGCTGGAGTGCAGTGCTACCATTTCTGTTTATGGTAACCTCTGTCTCCTGGTTCAAGTGATCCTCCTGTCTCAGCCTTCCAAGTAGCTAGGACTACAGTCAAGTACCACCATGCCCAGCTAATTTTTGTATTTTTATGTAGAGAAGAAGTTTTGCCATGTTGCCCAGCTGGTATTGAACTTCTGGGCTCGAGTGATTTGCTTGCCTTGGCCTCCCAAAGTGCTGGGATTACAGATCTGAGCCCCTTGCACAGGACAAATTGGAAATAAAAGAACATAGGCCCTTCACTAGTGATGATTTGAGAAGCACCAAGACAGTAGGGTGCCCTGTGGAGTAGACAGTGGGTCAGTAGACAGAACAAGGGGATCTCAGCGAATGCCAGGCACTCAAGGAGGGCTTCCTGGGGCAGGGACTCAAGTTAGACTTTGGGGGATAGGCAGGACCTTGACAAATGGAGAGGACTCCAGGTCACTCCTACAGCCATAAGGGAGTACTCACACTCACTATAAGCATGTTTGCGAGTTACTTTTAGTGCGTGTACATTCTGTACCAAACACTGTGCTAGGTGCAATGGGCAGTTTGTAGCACTGAGAGCTGAATGTTATGGGAGCCAGGGCTTTGGGTTCTGGATACAGCCCTTTTAAAATCTCCCTCAATAGCAGCAGGAAGATCATTTAACCCTTCCCACCCTCGCACCCTCTAAACTGTAAGAGCCATAAGGGCAGGGACTGTCTTCAGTGAGCAATGCCTAGCTCACCCTGACAAATAACAAGTTCCCAGTAAAATTTTTGGTGAATGAATGGACAGGTTTCAGTTGTAACACCTGAAAAATGTGCGGTGGAGAAGAGGGAGGCTAGATAAGACTGGTGGTTTTGCAATTGTAAAGTGAAAAACTATATTGTGTAGCCAACCTGTCCTGCAGGAAGCTCCGGGAAATCAAGTTTTGTAGCTGGGTTATCAAAACAGGGATTCTGTTAACAAGGAAAAGGGGAGAATGGGCATGTATTGGCAACTGTTGGTATGTACCACAATATATATGTGTGATTTTTCCCCCTTTTATATTACCAAGAGAGTCTTCAAGGAAGGAGTTCTTTTTAAAGAGAATGTAGGCTGGGCACAGTGGCTCACACCTGTAATCCCAGCACTTTGGGAGGCCAAGGTGGGTGGATCGCTTGAGGTCAGGAGTTCAAGACCAGCCTGGCCAACGTGGCAAAACCCCATCTCTATTAAAAATACAAAAATTAGCTGAGCATGGTAGCAGGTGCCTGTAATCCCAGCTACTCGGGAGCTGAGGCAGGAGAATCGCTTGAACCTGGGAGGTGGAGGTTGCTGTGAGCTGAGATTGTGCCCCTACACACTCCAGCCTGGGCAACAGAATGAGACTCTGTCTCAAAAAAGTAAAAATAAAAATAAAATAAAGATAATGTAGAAGGAAGTTTTGTAGAAAAGAATAAGAAGGACATTGAAGCAAGAGGAGTTCTGTGTGTCTGTAGCTAGGAGGCAGGAGTGGGCAGGCCCTGGTGGAGGCCTGAGCAGGCAGCCACTGCTCCCCACTACCTTGGCACGCACAGGACCCTCCAGCTCAGGCGACTGAGCTCCGGCTACCTGCTTCTCTTTCCTGCCTCCCCACTAAGCAGAAGCGACCCCTGTGACATTGGCGCAGTCAGGGACCCGGGACCCAGCCCTGAGGCTTGAGAGACCTCTCCCTTCTGCAGGCTTTTGCCACAGGATCCCTGATCCCCCACCAGGTCCTCATGCACTTGAGCAAGTGCTCAAGGACCCTCACTGTCTGGGACAAAATCGAACCACCTGCTTCTGTCTCTTTCTCACCCGCTGATTTCTCCTCTCCCATTCTCTCCATCCTTCCCCTCCTCTCTGTGGCAGTGGCAAAGCACAAGCAGGTAGTGAGGAAACTGACTGTCCTCTCTCCATTTCAGGTATAGCAGAGACTCCTCGGGAAGACTCACAGGACTGTACCCACTGCCTGCCATGTCTCTGTGGTCACCTTTCCGATGCAGATGGAAGCCGGGTCCAAGGGACTCTAGAGAGGCCTCTCCACAGCTTCCCGATCAGGACTTCGAGGCCCTACTGTCAGAGTGCCTGAGAAATGGCTGCCTCTTTGAAGACACTAGCTTCCCGGCCACCCTGAGCTCCATCGGCAGCAGGTCCTTGCTGCAGAAGCTGCCACCCCGCCTACAGTGGAAGAGGCCCCCGGTGAGGCAGACCCTCCTGCCCCAGGGTTTAGGGCGTTCGGATATATAAGATATATGGGAGGAAAAAAGGGCTTTTTCCTGCTCTCTACTCTCCACTCAACACAACATACTCTTCTAACACCAGATGTGTGGGAGGCTTTCCCCACATGCCAAGAAATTCTCTAGTGGACACCATGTGGGTATTCTGTAATGAAATTTAATTCTGACATTGTCTACCTAGAGACAGTGTCAGATCTCACAGGTTGAGTGCACATCCCACAAGACTGCCTCCACTTCAGATGCCAATCACAAGTCCCAGGTTGTGACCTGTACTTCTCATGACTGGCCATAAATCACGGCTGCCACGATCCTCTCCGTGGGCTTGATTAATTTGCTAGAGAGGCTCACAGGACTCAGGGAAATGCTTCACTTACATTTAATAATTTATTATAAAGGGCATTACAAAGGTTGCAGATGACAGCCAGGTAGAAGAGAAGCATAAGGCAGGGCATGGGGAAGGGGTGTGGAGCTCCTATGCCCTCCTTGGGTATGCCACCTTCCAGGGACCTCCGTGTGTTCAGATATCCAGAGCTCCCTACACCTTGTCCTTTGGGTTCTCATGGAAGATTTATTACCTAGGCGTGATTGATTACACCATTGGCATTTGGTGATCAACTCAACCTTCAGATTCCCCCACCTCCCCAGAGGCCAGGGGGTAGGGCTAAATGTCCCAACTTTCTAATCCTTGCCTTGGTCTTTTCAATGGCCAGACCCTGTCCTGAAGCTATCCAGGGAACACCAGCCACCGGTCGATCATTAGCATACAAAGGACACTCTTATCACTCTAGAGGTTGCTGAGGCTTTAGGAGCTGAATGTCAGAGAACTGAGCAAATGGAGACCAAATATATATTTCACAATATCACACCAGGTCTTACTGTCATTGATCTCGCTAAGAAGGGAACTGGGTACGTTCCCACATTCTCACTTTCCAGATGGAGAAAACCAGGGGTGATTTTGAGAGTGGTGTAAGATGTAGCTCTCCCTCAGCCCTGCCCAGAAATATGCAGAGCAACTAGAGCCAAAAATACATCAAGGTACTGTTTAGCTTCATCTGAGATGGCAAGGCTTCCTGAGTCACAGCCAATACCATCTGCCAGAGAGATACATTTTAACATATCTCCAACCTCCTCCCCCCAAAGCAGGCTCATGAAACATGTAAATTAAGAAGCTATTAATCACTTTACAGAAGTATTCTTCACTTTATAAAATACATCACTTCCTTTAAAAAGCAACTTCTTAATGTGTTCGAATGTAATCCATCTCCCTGAAGCTTGATTTACATACAGGGTTTCAGGAACACGGCTAGCAAACAGCCTGTGTAAGCCTATGCCACAGACACTTTCCTTCACTCTTCCCCACTCAGGCATCACCATTGATACCTTCAGCCCCAGACTTATGAAGTCCCTACTGTGTGTAAAATTATGCAGTGAGCCTCCTACGCTACATGGAAATCCTGGGAACTGCTGACACAGAGACTCTGTTCTATAACTGACTCTTGGGGAGACTGTGTCCACGCAAAGACTGAAGGATTTAAATCTTGCCATGGAGGAGAGGCCACCCCCTTACCACCCCACTCCAGGCTGCATCTCAGCAGGAAAAGCCGAAGAGACCATCATAGTGGTCAGGAATAGGAAGGAGGAATCAGGGAGAAAAAGGAGAAAGAGAAGACCTCTAGGAAAACTGAGAATCCCTCAGTATCTACACAGAGTCCTCCAGGGCTCTGACTTATACGAGCTATGAGAAGGAATGAGAAATACAAAGGACAGAATTGCGTATCCCAGATCTTGTGGGATAGCACTGATTTCACATATATTCTGTATGTGTCCCCCTAAGTCTAGTTTTGGGGTATGGGAAAACATGGTCCTTGTAGCTCCAGGAGCTTTGTTGGTCTAGGTCAGAATGACAGTTCTATTTGTTTCCCCTAGGAGCTGCACAGCAATCCCCAGTTTTATTCTGGCAAGGCTAAAAGGCTGGATCTGTGCCAGGGTATTGTAGGTAAGTTTGCACAGCCCCCAGAGACCACACACCAGGCTGCCTGCTGGCCAGGCCTGGCCAAGACAGAGTGGATGATAAAGAAGAGAATCCAGTGATCACCGCTGGAGAGAGCCCCAGAAATGGTTATTCATTGGCAAACTCTGAACACCACCTGGACAGGCTCTGTTCTTTGCTGTGAAGTTTAGAAAAGCTGGTCCTCTGAGGATGCGTGGGAATGCCATATCCTGCCTAAGTCCTCACATCATCCTCATTACCAGTTGACAGGTCTAAATTTTAAGTTTGGAAAATGCGCTCACTCTATTTAAGCTCCCACAGTGGGGCCTTCTTGAGATAGCAGCCTTTAGCCTCCCAGAACAGGATCAAAGCAGACCTATCCTCAACTCTACTTTTTAAAAATAGTAAATTGGTCGTCAGGGAAGGCCCAAGTCCAGTGATATCCATATCATAGACAGGGAAATGGGGTCCCGAAGGGTTGAGGCTTTCTCAGAAGAACATAAATCAGCTTCAGAGGCAAGATTTGGAAAAGGGGGATGATGTTCAGGTCCAAATTCCTGAGGATAGGGCATTCAGGAATCTAAAAGCTGGTCCAGGACCATAGCTCTGATTTTGGAGTCAAGTTGGATTTCAGCCAGTGCTCCCAGTGCCCCGCTCTGCTGACTCATCATCTGCCTGCCCAGTATATACTTCTCTTCTCCTAAACTAGGCTGCTAGCCCAGAGAGGGTAGCCACTGGGACCAGGCATTTCCTGCAGGTATGAAGTCCTTGATAGATTCATGCAGATGCTGTGTGCTGTCTGACTTAGGAGACTGCTGGTTCTTGGCTGCTTTGCAAGCTCTGAGCTTGCAACAGGACATCCTGAGCCGGGTTGTTCCCCTGAATCAGAGTTTCACTGAGAAGTATGCTGGCATCTTCCAGTTCTGGGTGAGTGTCTTTCCAGGGCCTAAGGATGGAGGAAACCATAGGAAAGAGGGTTTCTGGAGGACCATGTCTTCACCTTCTGGGCTCACCACCATCTGCAGGAGTCCTCATTCACCAGGGGCCACTCTCTCCCTCCAGTTCTGGCACTATGGGAACTGGGTTCCTGTGGTGATCGATGACCGTCTGCCTGTGAATGAGGCTGGACAGCTGGTCTTTGTCTCCTCCACCTACAAGAACTTGTTCTGGGGCGCGCTTCTGGAAAAAGCCTATGCCAAGTAAGAAACCGGCAGAAATATCCCCTTTACATCGCTTCTTTTTCTCTCTCTCAATGTTGAGGGAGCAGAGTGGAGTCAGGTAAAGTTTATGAAATGACATCCTGAGGCATGTCTCAGCGGACACAGAAGTGACAATGTATTCAGAGTCTTTTGTGTATGGGTCACCTCATCAAAGCCTGCATTCAAGAGTTTTGCCTTTCTCTAATGGATGGAATTAAGGAGAATCGAAACTCTGAGTGTATATTCTCTCCTTTGCTCCTGGGGTGGAAGGAAGAAGTAGCAACATACACCCAAAGAATACCTAAGCAAAGGCTTCACTGCTCATTCGGACAATCTAATCTACAGTTTAAATGCCCCTTCCTTTGTTTTGAATGAAACTTTCTCAGCCTTGCTAATCACTGCTGTCCCCAGCAGCTGAGAGGCCTGGATGAAGGAGCAGCAGCAGGGGATCCACCTGCTTGGGTCCCTGTGGGGTGGTCTGAACCTGAACATCAGGGACCGGATTGTGGGCGCAGCTTCAATGATACAGCCACAATATGAAAATTCAAGAGTTTTTCATACCTACAGACCCTAGAGGGTACTGGCATGTATGGAGGGCGCACACACACACACACACTCACACACACACACATGCACAAACACACACATATACACACTTGCACACACACGCACACTTGCACATGGAGGTCAGGGAGCCCAGGCAGAAAGAGAGAAAACAGACCCGTAGTGGACCCATAACTTTTCTTGAGCCCAGGGTGTTGTCCTAATGGGTTTCCCTCAAGCAGATTTAACTGATGGATTCAAAGCAAGCAGACCCTAGTTCTAGGAGATCTTGCTGTGATTGACAGGCAGTCACTTTAAGATCTCAGACAAACATCTGAATTGTCCATTTAAAGGAAGTGGTGGGAAAGAGAGGCTCCCAGTCTTCTAGGCAGGAGAGATGCCTCTAAGTTTTACCTATGACCACCAGACGGAGCCATTCAGGATGGGCGTGGGATTGGAAACTGTGTCAGCATTGCCTGCACCCTGCTTTTGGTATGAGAATATTAAACTCCTATTTAAAAGTGGATGCCAAGGCCACATAAAATTATAAACACTCACTATACTCTTCCTCTCATGTTTATTTCTTCCCTGGGCAGGCTCTCTGGTTCCTATGAAGACTTGCAGTTTGGACAGGTGTCTGAAGCCCTTGTAGACTTCACTGGAGGGGTGACAATGACCATCAACCTGGCAGAAGCCCATGGCAACCTCTGGGACCTACTCACCAAAGCCACCTACCACAGAACCCTCATTGGCTGCCAGACCCACTCAGGGGTGAGACTGGGCTGGCATTGGCAGAAAAACCTCTTCTGCACCCATGCTCTCCATCTACCATCACTGCTGTCCCTGGGTGTGGGCTCACGACGTCCACCCAGCTCCTATTGCTGAGGTCCTGGTGCTCAAACCAGAGCAGCAAGGCTGGGTGTGGTGGCTCACACCTGTAATCCCAGCACTTTGGGAGGCCGAGGCAGGCAAATCACTTGAGACCAGGAATTTGAGACCAGCCTGGCCAATATGGTGAAACCCTGTCTCTACTAAAAATACAAAAATTAGCTGGGCATACTGGTGGTCACCTGTAATCCCAGCTCTTTGGGAAGCTGAGGTAGGAGAATCACTAAAACCTGGGAGGCGGAGGTTGCAATGAGCCAAGATTGTACCATTGCACTCTAGCCTGGGCAACAAGAATGAGAGTGTTTAAAACACACACACACACACACATACACAAAACAAAAAAAATACAGAGTAGCAGTACTGAGGCATTAGGGCAGGCAAGGCAGTCGGAAAAAGAAGACGATGCGCAGAGCAGGAAGCTAACAATTATTAAATGCCAGCTACACGCAAGGCACTTTCTCCATCCTATTTGATAACAGCCAAAACCATGGAACATGGGTAGGAAGCCCTCAGGTCAGCCCTTCCTTCACTGATGGCCAAGCATGTCACCTCACACATTGATCACGCAACTCTAAATGGAGATTGTCGTCTGTAAAATGGAGGGTATGACATGACCACTGCAGAATGGATCACTTATTGAGAGGGTGGAATTAGACTATGGATACCAAAAAGCTTTGAAAACTGCAGTGTCCGTACCATGATTCTCTCCCACATTTCTCTCCATAAACCCCTGCTCCAGCCAAGCAGCCCTCCCATGACTCAAAGAATAAGCCGCAGATAGCAGAAGACTGATCAGGACCTCTCTTGTCTCTGCAGAAGGAGAAGGTTCTGGAGAACGGGCTGGTGGATGGCCATGCATATACTCTCACAGGAATCAGGAAGGTGGGTTGAGGTCAGCCCCTTGGTTTCCCTCTCAGCCTTGCCCTTCCCTCTCTGGGCCCTAGCTCATCTTGGTAGATTTAGTTTCTGCACCCCCTGGGGAGTGGGTAAAGTCTTTGGTGGGTCCCTGTGCCTCTGCACCTATTTCCTGGGGTAAAGTGGTGGGTCCAGCCTTTGCCACTGCCAATGCACCATCCCAACCTCATCCCCTGGGGCAGCCCTCAGCCAACCATCCTCCCACCTGCTGTATCTCACAACCCTTCCTTGAACTTTACTTCACTCTGGGCTGCCAAGAACAACCATTTTATCTGGTTCTTCCCTCCCAAATTTCTACTCTCTCACACACTTCTTTATGTCAGTCTCCATATGACAGTTTCCATTACTATCCATCTTTTGAGTTCTACTAGGCATTTAGAGCAAGATACACCAGACAGGACCTGCCTACAAAGGGCTGACAGTCAGGTATGGTCACAAACCATATCTGAAAATGAGGAGGAAGCAAAGTTGAAACAGAAAGGAAAGCATAGATAAAAGGCTTTAGGAATTCATGGGTGGGAGAAAAGACCTCCACTGAGTTGGGTTAGGGAGAAGTCAGAAAAGTCTTTTAACAGCGGAGGTGACATTTAGTTGGCCCCTGAAACGGGTGGATTTGTGCAGGGTGAGAAGAGCATTCTGGTGGAGGGAGCAGTGTAAGTAAAGCATAGAGATAAGAAGTCAGCAGGTTTAAGTTAAAGAACCTCTGATATTCTCAAGAGAGCCCGACTCCTCCCAAGTCCTCCAATTTTCTTTAACTCTGTTTCACATTTCTTGGACTCAATTCACACTTAACGTCTTCCTTCTAGATCTCCAATAACTATGTTGGCGTGTGTGCCTAGAGCTTTTAATTGGTTTCCATATCTATTAACAAAATTTACATAGCACTTACTATGTGCTAAATACTGTTTTAACTGCCTTACACATGTGGACTCATTTCATCCTCACAGCACTGTCCTGAATAGGCTGTGAACTCCAAATATCTGAGACAGGTCTCAGTTAATGTAGAGAGCTTATTTAGCAAAGGTTGAGATGTGCACCTGGGACTCAGCCTCAGGAGGTCCTGACCATATGTGCCCAAGGTGGTTGGAGCACAGCTTGGTTATATGCATTGTAGGAGACATGAGACATCAATCAACATATGTAAGATGAACATTTGATTTCCTCTGGAAAGGCAAGACAACTCGAAGCAGGGAGGGGGATTCCAGGTCACAGGTAGATAAGAGACACGTGGTTGCATTCTTTTGAGTTTCTGATTAGCCTCTCCAAAAGAGGCAATCACATACGGATTTATCTCAGTGAGCAGAGGGGTGCCTTTGAATAGAATGAGAGGCAGGTTTGCCCTAAGCAGTTCCCAGCTTGACTTTTCCCTTTAGATTAGTGATTGGTGGTGGTGGTGGTGGGGGGTGTTCCAAGATTTACTTTCTTTTCACAAGGTCTATGGGTTTCCTAGGGTTGGCACAACAAATTACCATAAACTGGTGGTGCTAGGGGGTGCTTAAAAACAACAGAAATTAATTTTCTCAGTTCCGAAGGCCTGAAATCTGAAATCAAGCTGTGGGTGGGCATGCTCCCTCTGAAGGCTCTAGGGAAGAGTCCCTGCTTGCCTCCTCCACCTTTTGGTGGCTCCAGGTGTTCCTTGGCTTGGGCTACATATCTCAGTCTCTGCCTTCGTCTACACGTGGCCTTCTCTGTGTCTTCTCCCCTTCTCTTCTGACACTTGTCTTTGAATTTAGAGCCCATGATAATCCATAATTATCTCATCTCCAAGTCCTTAATTTAATTACATTTGCAAAGATCCTTTTTCCAAATAGGGTCGTGTTCACAGGTTCAGAGTGTATGTATCCCCTTTGGGGAGGGTCACAGGTATGATTATATCCACTGCCATACGTATGACTATAGACCTTATTCCACAGATCAGGAAACGGAGACACAGAGAGGTTAGGCAATTTGCCCTAGGTCTCACAGCTTGTAAGTACAAGAAGCAGAGCCACTTTCTCCTTTATCAGCTCTCTCTGGACCTGTGATTTTCCATTGCAAGTGCTCAGCTGCAGGCCCGAGTCTCACTCAGATCTCTGGAATGCTTGCACTCAGCCCAGCCACCTAAACTGCCTCTCGTTTTATGCAGGTGACCTGCAAACATAGACCTGAGTATCTAGTCAAGCTACGGAACCCCTGGGGAAAAGTGGAATGGAAAGGAGACTGGAGTGACAGGTGAACTTTGGGGACATCTTGGAGGGGCGAGAATGGGTAGGTGTAGGCAAAGGAGGCTGCCATTTGCACACAAATTCAAATATGTGCTTCCTTTGGTCTTAGGCTGGATCAGGAAGCTTTCAGACTGGGATGCTCAATCCCTCACATTTATATGATGCTTTATGGTATATAGACTGCTTTCTCTTTCATTATAATAATTAAAGCTAATGTTTATTTGCGGGCTTGCCAGCACTGTGCTAAACCCTTTGAATTTTTATTATCTCATTTAATCCCCCAAACAACGCTATTACCAAGTATATAGTTTTACCCCCATTTTACTAATGGAGAAACTTAGATTAATTGAATTGCCTAAGGTCATACAGTGTGATTCAACCAAGGTCTTTGGTGCCTGAGTCCGGTGTCTTTCCCTGGCATGGTTCAGTAAACTCCTGGGTTTGCTGAGTCAAAGTAGACACATTTGGATTGGACTCTACACTCTGACTACATAGAGTAGCCTCTGGGCATTCTGATTCGATGCCGGCATTTAGGTTGTTTCTGCTTAATGGTAGCCCTAAAGAAATGTGGGTTTTGCAGGCTAGGCACTGGCTGCAGGGCACAGGTAGAAAGGGGGGTCAAGTCCTAAAGTCCTTCCTTCTGTCATTATGAAGATTTATAGTACTTAATCCTGTACATGTCTTTTGAGTGTACAAGCATGTCCATATACACATTATCACATAATCATTTTTATAGTGAAAAAAGTGAAGGCTTAGACAAACAAGTTGAATTTTCCTCCTGATGGAATGTGCTACATTATATTTGTTACACATTAGCAAACAGAGTTGTTAGAGGAGCTGGGTCTATGTGGGAAAACGTCATCCCAAGAAATACATAAATTTTAAAGTGTTACAGAAATCTAGCATCATGTTGCTGGTGGCGGTTTCTTTCACAGGGGAACAAGCACTAACATTAGAGATAGATGATGGGTAAAATTACACTGTTGTTACTTCTTAGCTGTGTGATCTTAGTTTAGGCAAGCTTCTTAATTTATTGGATCCAGAGGTATAGTGAATATTAAAATGGTGAGCTTTTATTTTACAGTGTTCAATCTGCTGTTAATCCCATTCAGTATATTTTTCATTTTAAATATTATATTTTCAATTCTAGAAATTCCACTTGAGATTATCTTCCATTTCCCCCTCATTATGTCCATGTTTCTCTTTACATCTTTGAGAATATGGGGCATTTTTATAACAGCTGTTTTAATGTCCTTATCTGCTAATTCCACCATCTCTCTCATGTCTATGTCAGTTTCTATGGACTGTTTTTTTATTCCTGGTCACGGATCATATTTTCTGCTTCCTCATATGGCTAATAACTTCTTATTGCATGCTGGACATTGTAAATATTAGTTTCAGAGTGCTGAATTTTATTGTATTTCTTTAAAGAGTGTCGGACCTTTTTTAAAGTAAGTAGTTACATTGCTTAGGGATTTTGATACTTTGAAGATTTTTAAGCACTTTTAGGGAGTCAAGACAAACTTTATATCAGGGATAATTTGATTCTACTACTAAATTGTAAACCCTCTGGGATCTCTAGTAAAGATTCCATATATTCAACAAAGTCTTTTGGCTGGGCACAGCGGCTCACAACTGTAATCCCAGCACTTTGGGAGGCAGAGGAGGGCAGATCATTTGAGGTCAGGAGTTCAAGACCAGCCTGACCAACATAGTGCAACCGCATCTGTGCCAATAATACAGAAATTAGCCAGATGTGGCGGCATATGCCTGTAATCCCAACTGTTTGGGAGGCTGAGGCAGGAGAATTGCTTGAACCTGGGAGGCAGAGGTTGCAGTGAGCTGGGATCACACCACTGTACTCTAGCCTACATGGCAGAGTTAGACTCTGTCTCAAAAATAAGTAAATAAATAAATAAAGTCTTTTAACTCTGTCTAGTGGGAATGCATGAGATTCCCAGCACTGTGTCCCGCTTACAGTCCAGTCTTGGGGAGTTTCACTTTAAGAAAGCACAGACTAAATCTCAGCCAAAGATGCAAGGGAGCCCCTCTGAAGTTCCTGGAACTCTTTTTTTATGAGCCCCCTCCTCTCAGGTGCTTTGCCCAGCAAATTCTGGTTGTCTTCATCTCCCCGAATTCCAGATTCTGTCTCCTTCACTCAGCCAGACCTGTATGTTCTTTTTTGAGTCCCTTTCCCTGTAGCAGTGACCAGGAAATTACCTTCAGGAAGAAAGCCTAGGTGATGCGAGGGCTCACTTCATTTGTTTCCAACCTCCTGGGATCACAGACCCATGTTGCCTGCTGTCCAGTATCTGAAAACAGCTTCTTCTGTTTTTGTCACATTTTTACTTCTTGATGGTAGAAGGCTGTCAGGACAGTCTTACTCCTTCATGGCCAGTAGTAGAAGCTCAAATCATGGCCTTTGAAAAGATGCAGGTTCAAATGTTAGCTCTGACATTTAATAGATGTATGACTTCAGCAAGTGACTCAATCTCTCTTAACTCAGTTATCTAACCTCTAAAATGAGAACAACGACGTTGTTGTTAGCCTTGAATGAAATAATGTATGTCAAGAACCTAGCCCAGTGCTTAGCTTATAGTGAGCTATCAATGAAAGCTACATGCTACTGTGTAATATAGAATGGGAAATTCAGTTGTCTGAAGTAGCATGAAAATAATAATGAATAATGACACTACAGAGCCTTTACTAAAGAGTTTCTAGCATGCCCCCCACAAGCTTTTCATTCCCTTTTCTATTTTCAGTTCAAGTAAATGGGAGCTGCTGAGCCCCAAGGAGAAGATTCTGCTTCTGAGGAAAGACAATGATGGAGAATTCTGGTATTGGACTTGGGGACTTAGACAAATATCCTGGCCTACATTTGAAAACCCATCCAGCAGACGTTTATTGGATGGGTGCCAGGAACCTCATGTACAGAGATCAATAAGGCACCATCCCATTAGGCACTCACGGTCTAGCAGGACAAACAGCCCCTATAAATATATGGTCGGTCTCTGTGATGAGAGTAGAGGCCACTAGCGTGGAGCTCAGGGAGGGCTCCGCCAGGCTGTTTCCTCCTCTCTGGCTTCCCCTCTGCTCTCTTGCTCAATATATTCAAAAAAGGTTTTGCCTTTTTTGTCCTGAAAAGGCCTTGAGGTAGGAAGAGACTGGAAAGTCTTGCCATAGGGTAGGCCCCACCGACCAGGGCCCACCAGAGCAGAGTAACACTTCCACTCCGGAGCTACTCACCTCATTTTTAAAAATCGTACTCTAAGTTCTGGGGTACATGTGCAGAACATGCAGGTTTGTTACGTAGGTATACACATGCCATGGTGGTTGGCTGCATCCATCACCCTGTCATCTACATTAGGTATTTTTCCTAATGCTATACCTCCCCCATACCCCCACTCCCTGGCAGGCCCTGGAATGTGATGTTCCCCTCCCTGTGTCCATGTGTTCCCATTGTTCAACTCTCACTTATGAGTGAGAACATGCAGTCACCTCATTTTTTGAAAGGCCATCAAGACATTCTGAGCTGATGCTGCTTCTAGGGTTTGACAGGGGCCCCAGTCTGTTCCCCTTGGCTTTTGTTTGCCACTGTTACTGTTAATGTCAACCCTTGTTCCAAGGACTCCTCCCATTAACCATCCAGTTCAGCCTGCTGCAGCCCTCTCCCTTTGGAAGCTCTTTCACTGAACCGAAGCCCTGCAAATTCCTGTTTTTTCCACTTTTTGGTTAAGTAAACTGAGCCAGTTTAAACAGAATGTCACAGGCCATGAGTTGGCAAGTAGGGGCAAATATCTTCATTAATTAATGATTAAGAACTGATATGCAATTCTTACTGAACGTTTACAGATAAAACAAATGACTAGTTAGCTATGCACTAATTCAGCTGCTGTCACCATGATTCCAGAAACAGGAACATCTCCCCCCATCAGCCATGTGGCCAGCTGCTTCCAGCCAGAGGGTGGGGCTTCTCAGCAGCTCCAGCTCCCCACAATGGACCCTCACAGGGATCTAGCCAGCCCCAGCTCATGTACTGATGGCCACCTCAGCTCTGCACAAGAGCTGGTGTCTTTGTCCATGAGAGGGCTGAGATGCCCACTGCTTTGTCTCACCCTCCCCATCGGTCCTGATGACTAGGCATTATCTGGTCCATCTCTTTGTGCTGTTCCTTTTTCCTCTCCACAGGATGACACTGCAGGACTTTAAAGAACATTTTGTGCTCCTGGTCATCTGTAAACTGACCCCAGGCCTGTTGACCCAGGAGGCGGCCCGGAAGTGGACGTACACCATGCGGGAGGGGAGATGGGAGAAGGGGAGCACAGCTGGTGGCCGGAGGCAGTTGCTGCAGGGTGAGTGCATGCGCAGGAGCAGGGCTCTTGGGGTGACGTTGTGAGCGGGGGTATGAGAGTGACTGCACCCACATGGGAGTGCAGCACGAATTCTGCATTAGCCAAGGGGAAAGGAGGCTTGGCTTGTCTCACTATGTGCTGGGGCCCTGGGCTATGACCACAGGGAGGACGGGGCCCCTGTGGTACCAATGTACACCATAACAGAGTCCTGTCAGTCAAGCCGTCAGCCTGTGGGGCTGTATCTTCCCAGAGGGTTGCCCTGTCCTAGTGACCACCGGGGGTCATAGGCACACAGGCATGGGAAAAGCAGGATCAAGGGAGAATCTTTCTTTAGTTTTAGAGAAGGCCACTGAAAACACTGAGGTAACCACCCATTAACTGGGCAGGATTGAAATGGAAATTGCATCAGGTCCTGCCCACCTGGAGCTTGGGAGGAACACAAACCCTGGGCTTCCCAGGCTCGCTAGGCAGGGGAGACAAACTTGTCTGAACTCGCAAGATGGGACAGATTTGGTGGCTGTGTCCCTTCCTCCACTTTGGAGATAGTGAGCCATCCCCTTTGAAGGCAAGGCCTGTGGGGTATGACCCCGATGGGCCAGGGTGGCCTTAGCTCTGGAGTCCCCCTTTTGACAGTATTTCCCCCAAAGTCTGAAGCCGAACTTAAGCTAAGGTTTTTGCCTCCAGTAAATGCAAAGGTCCCTAAGATCATGGTCACCTCCCCTGAGAGTTAAGACAGTTGTTTATTCACGTAGCACATGCTTACGGAGTAAATAAAATACATATCCTGATGATGTATTTTATACCTGGGCCAGGCACTGAGCGAGACAAAGAGGTTGCAGTGGTGGGAACAACTCCAGTTCAGTGTGTCTAGAGAAGCCTACAGGTGGAAGAGCAAGGAGGGAGGGCATACAGCCAAGGTTGAAGGGACCCCGACTCTGTCCTGATGGGACTCAGGGTGTCAATCCTGGCAGAGCTGTCCTCAGACTGTTCACCTCTTAGTAGTTTGGTGAGCAGGATGCTTGGGGATACAGGATCCATTCTCACCTTGCTGTGTTCTGCCCCAGACACATTTTGGAAGAACCCACAGTTCCTGCTGTCTGTCTGGAGGCCCGAAGAGGGCAGGAGATCCCTGAGGCCCTGCAGCGTGCTGGTGTCCCTGCTCCAGAAGCCCAGGCACAGGCACCGCAACCAGAAGCCTTACCTCGCCATCGGCTTCTACCTCTATAGGGTAGGTGGACCTCTGAACCACAGGGCATGTGACCAAGCATGGGGTTGCCAGCAGTGACCATGTCTTCCTGGTCCTTGTCCTCTTTACCATCTGTCTCTGTTCACAGACCTGGGTTTTCAAAGACAGGCGCTATCTTTTAGGAACATGTGATTTAGAATGAGTCACCTTCTTGCACTAGGCCATCAGTTTCTTCATCTGTAAAATGGGGACAATGATATTTAGGCAAAAGCTGGAATAAAAGAGGATTCTGTGGTAGTGCTTGTCATTGTGCCTGGTAGTTAGTACAATCAATACTGGCTTCCTTTTCCTCTCCCCAGAAGCCAAGCATTCTTTCCCTTCCGCTTTTCCAGAATTTCTGATGATGGATTAAAATGTCACTGATAGAACTGCAGGTCTTGTGGGAGGGGACAGGGCTTCTGGGTGGAGCCTTGCATATCAGCTTCTCTTCAGGTTTTAGCCTATGAAAGAGCCAGATTCCCTGCCTAATGAGATCTCTCTCTCTTTTTTTTTTTTCCAGATGAACATGGTGAGTTCTGCCCTTAACCAGGTGGCCCTAGTTTGGGGTGATATCACATGTGGCCAAGCCTCCATGGGCTTCAGTTAGACTGCAGCAGGCTTATACTGCGTAAGAAGCTATGATAATGTCTGATGATGAGAATGTCTGCCAACTTCCTGTGCCTATGTGAAAGTAAAGCGCATCTGCTAATCTTTTTATTCAAAGACCCCCAAAAGATCCTCATGCATCTATAGGGAGGTCTCAGAGCCTAGCATGAAACCAATAAATTGTAAAATTTATTAAATTCCTACACGAATACCTAGGGCTAATATTGAAGGCCATCACAGCATAGGAAAGACGATCAATTACAATCTTGACTGGGTCATGAAACCCAAAGTAAGATGGACTTAAAACATATGGGACATCAGAGACCATGCAGCCCACCTCCCCAGGGAGAAGGGACAAAGGCTTGAGGACATGTGGCAGGAGCATGGGCAGAGGGACAAGAGCATGTCTGGCTTCAGTTGCTGTGGCACCTGGGAGGGGTTCCAAGGAATCCCATCCTCTGAGGGAGGCAGCTATTATTTTATTTCCCAAAGAAAACAGGAGTAAAAGCTTAATTTTCTAAGGTTCAATTGAATCAAGTAAAAGGACTATTATAAAGAAATCATTTTATGCTGGGTCTCTTTTTGTTGCTTTCCTCACAACACTGCCCACTCTCAAATTTGCCTATTAATTTAAAAAGGAAAAGTTACTGATGTCATGCCTACTTCTGAACAGAATTTGGGTCAACCTACAATAAACAAGTATAAACAGAGGAAACCCACATATCAGTTACGAAATTTAAATGCCAAGAGAAAATGACAAAGAGATGAGAGCTAGGTAGACAGTTGCTTCTACCAGGAAAACTAAACCTAGCACGGTTACTATGGCTCATTATACAATTTAGCTCTGAGATTCCTAGTAGCTCATGGCAAAGAGGGCAATTGGATGATTTCCTAGTTCTCATTGTCTTATAAAAGAATGCCTACATCATAAGGATATATATTTTATTTCCAAAGTACGGAGGAATTTGCTAAATATCTGTTTATGTGGATGGGTGGTGTCTTGGTTAGCAGTTGTGTATAAACCGGAAAGAGGATCCTGGTGTGGGTTTCCTCGCACTCTACAACCCTGAGCAAGAACAAAGGGGTGAGGAAGCAAGAGAGAAAAATAGGGAGAGATGGAGAAACAAAGGAGTCAGAGAGACAGAGAGAGAAAGAGAATACGAATCAGATAAAACAAAAAAGATACCCAAGAAATGTTGGAATCCGAGCTCTGATTCAGGCCTTCTGAGCTCTTGCGCAGTTCTCTTTGTCCTTTACAAGGTTGTTTTCCCTGAGTGACATGGAATTTTATCTGTGTATAGCTGTGAGGTGTAGGTGGCAGGTGGTGGTGGTCCATCTGTACCTGTGACCATCAGTCGTGCCACATCATATACATGGAGGCAGCATCAGGCAGCATAAAGAACATGAGCATGGAGCTCCGCTGTCCTGAATTCCCATCTGGCTGGGACTGTAACTAGCTGATGACTTTGGGCAGATGATCTAACCTGTCTAAGCCTCAGAACCCTCACTGTAAAATGGAAACTGCAGGCCCAAGGACATATTTCCTATCATTTTGTGCTGGTTTTGTTTTTAAGGTAAGTCAAATCAAATGACGTGTGTTTATGTATCCCCTGATAGGTTCTACAAAGGTGCAGCCCGCCACACACATACTCTGGTTTTTGCCTCTCCTCCCCTCTTGTTTCATCCTCCACTGTGGAACAGTGGATTTGGCAGATCAGGGCCACCTTAGTTCTGGCTCAGAGCTGAGGGCCTCAGACCTGGCCACAGCCCTGGGCCATTTCCTTCCCTGGTATTTTTCTGTCTTCTGCCCACAGTACCATGATGGCCAGAGGAGACTGCCCCCCACGTTTTTCCAGAGAAACGCTCCCCTGAGCCAGCCTGATAAGTTTCTCAGGGAGAAAGAAGTGAGTCAGGAGCTGTGTCTGGATCCAGGGACATACCTCATAGTGCCCTGTACCTTGGAGGCTCACCAGAAGTCAGAGTTCATCCTCAGGGTCTTCTCCAGGAAGCACATCTTTTAGTAAGGACACAAGGCCTCTCCTAGAGGTTGGGGACCGCTCGGGCTAGGGCAGGCAAGGAGGGCAAGGTTGGAAACGGCAGAGACCAGGGTTTCTGCTGCTGAGACAGAAGAGATATGGGAAGAGCAGGAGACCAGGTTACTTTCTGCATGAAGGACATCCCTCCCCTTCCTTCCCGCCCTCCTTATACTCACAAACTAACACCTTGCTAGACATTTATAGAGAAAAAGATAAAGCACACATGGCCCCTGCCCTTTGAACTTCCAGAAGTTCAAAGTTTGGAAAGGACACAGATATATGAGCAAGTTATTGATCTTCCAGTGCATCCAGTATACTCATTTTATATGCACAGGGTGTTAGAAGAGTCTCAAAGAGGAGAATCTGAGCCAACTCCCATGGTCCTGGGGGAAGCAGGAGTGGCTTCAGGGAGGAGGTGACTATTCAAAGATGTGTAAAGGTTGTTCAGATGAGGGGAGGCTGCCATAAACTAGCAGGCTTCCATTCTACTAGTGTACACAGTTCAATTAATGTGCACATATCCCAACCAAACACATTATTTTGCCTATGATTGTTTTACCTGCCAGGTTTTGTGTTTTTTGTTTTGTTTTGTTTTTGTTTGTTTTTTATGTCTTGGCCACAGGTAGTTTGGCTTGATCTCAGGCCCCACTGCCATGTCAGACCACTAAGTCTCATACTCATCTTTTAAGACTAATTAGATGAGGGAGCAGGGAATTACAAGTGGTATGCTATGCACAGGGCTGGAATGTACTCTTTAAGGGGAAGCGGGAGGTAAGGTGTGAGAGCTGGGCAGGCCCCTGTGGTGCCTCGGTGAAGGAACATGGAAGATGAGCTCCCAGGAGAGGGGGAACATTGGTCAAGAAATTCCCAAGAGGAAACTCTGGGTTTTTTTCTTTGTTTGTTTGTTCTCAGTGAAATTGGCAGCAGTTCTGGTGTTGTCATCTCAAAGGTAAGTAGTCAGGTGGAATTCCGTATGGCTGGGACTGCTTTCCAAGCCAGGATGTTGGGTTTCTCTTTTCAAGTTAAGGAGCCAGGGAGGAGAGATGCAGATCCTTACAGACCCTGTTTTATGGCAGACATTACCTGGTGTATCCTAACAGTCCCTGGGCTTTGCTGTTTTTGCACCAACAAAGAGTAGAGAACTACCCACTGGTCAAGTCCTTGTCACTGAGGGTCCAGACTGCTAGCTATGTGAGTTACGTCTCTACTTTCTTCTGCTTCTCTTTATCTGGTGTTTCTTTTGTCCATTTCACTGTTTGTGACTTTCCCAAAGTCAGGGAAAATTGGAGAAGCAAGGGCTGTTTATAAATGCTATGGTGTAAAATTAAAGACAATGCAAAGTTAAGCTCATGGATTTCAGAAGCCTGGAAGCCATGAGACATTAGGGTGTACATGAAAGTCCATTTATACAGGTGAATAATTATGTCTTTCTATGTGTCTCTTCCTGTAGGAGATAGAAGATCAAAATGAAGGGCAGAATGAATGCTTCACCAAATTCTTTGAAAAGGTGAGTTGAACAGGTGTGGTGGGGGAGGGTGGGGAAGAACAGGGGACAAAGTGGAGCATATCATTTCATCAAAGCATAGGTTTGTATCTACTTGAGGCTGCATAGAAACTGTGATTTAAGGCTACCTATTCCCCCAAGTGCCACTTTCTATTAAAGTCCTCAAGTTTTTAGACAAATGAGTAGAGCCATTGCCCTAGAAGTCTCCTGTAAAGTGATTCTCTGTTCTTGAAAGCTGTGTTGATTAGTTGTAGGAAAGCAACTTTAATCTTTCATCCGTGAGAAAATGGGATGTAGCAGAGCAGAGAGTCAGAGTTGGGAGTGGGGCAGGGGTGGTGGGGTGGGGGGGAGGAGAGCATGACAATGACAAATCCTGGGGGCTTTAGGGAGAACCATTGGAGGGGAGCCCAGGGAGAAGGGGCCCTTTAGTGGTCACCTGGAGAGGGGATGAGCCTGATAAGAAAGGGGAGAGCCTGGGGCACACACTTAGTCCCTGTGGCTTCTTCTCTTGGACTGACCCAGATTTGAGTCTAGCAAGGGCTAATGGTACGAGTGCAGGGCTCTGGAGGCCATGTTCTCCCTAACCTACAAGGCACTTAGGAAGCAGGTGAGAGACATGCTGGAAATCTTGTCTGATATTTGGAGCAATGTCACTAAAACAGAGAACCTGAGCCCCTTGTGTTAGTGACATTTAAAGTCACAACTTACCTACCTTGCCCATCTGGAATTTTGTTTAAAGTAGCTGGAGAGGATAAATCAGAATCTTACATGTATTGTTTATAAATGTTTTCTTCCATACCAGTGGTTTCCAAACATTTGATGCTGCAATCCTTTTATCAAATGAAGTCTCATAGATAACCCCAATATATATAAAACAATTAAAAATAGCATGTTATGAATATGCATCAGTTTTAAAAACATCAAATGTTTGATACTTATATTTCATTGGTATATTTTAAAGTCAAATGTTCATATAAAGAGTTTCTTTTAGTAAACTCTAAGGTTAAAATCTAGAGTTTTGACTAATGACATTTTATTAAGAATGAAATTCAAACCAAATTGTTAGCTAAACTTCAGAAGCACCTGGATAGCACCTTCGAGAATCACTGTTCTCTAGAAGCCTACTTAAAAGTCCTGCCCTGCCAGGTTTCTCTGGGCTTGGTACCCAGCTAAAAAGCATCATGAAGTACTTAGAAAATCCCAGTTTAATTTTATGTCCAGTCATATGTCCCCTCTGCCATCTAATGAGCCTTCAGTAACAATTATTTTTTCTTGCCAATCTGCTTTCTATTCAGTATCCAGAAATTAATGCAGTTCAGCTGCAGAACATCCTGAACCATGTGACCTGGTCAAGTAAGTGTTTGAGAGCCATCCTGTACTCGGAGGGGACACAACTTTTCTAAGCTCTGGCTTTGTTTCTCTTTCCTTTGGTGGGATGTGTGAATTACCGGGTGCTGGTCTCAACCAGTGGCTCTATTTTACACAAGGGTGGATTATGTGATCTGAAAAAGCAGTAGAGAAATTTATTCAGCTTTGAAAATCATCACCATTATTATTATTTTGCTTACTTTGGGTATAGAGATATATGGCAGTGAAAGTGAAGATTTCTGCCATTTTGCTAGTCAGAAAGAAATAACTGAGTATCTCTTTCTTAGCATATCAATTTCATGTGGAAGAATTGTACCCATTTCCTCAACCTGGGATATAAATATTAAGTATTAACTAGCCTACCTAGGGAACTATCTGATGAACTCATGTTAAATTGATCAAGCTACAAAAATCTGGAAGGAGAGAGCATACCACCTAGAAGAATTGCAAATGGGTAGCATGGATGCTTTCATATGAAGCCTGCGATCAATTATTAGGCTTAACATCCATATAAAATATTTTATACATATATTTGGAGGGAGAAGAACATGAAAGAAATAGGCTGATTTCTCCAGGGAGAAAAATAAACTTCAAAGTAAAAAAAGTAAAACAACCAGAGTATTTGCTACAGAAGTTAGATGATTGCTTCTCCTTTATATGAAGCCAAGATTTCAGACCCAGGAAAATTACAGTGCAGACTATTGTGTGATTCAGGCTTTGAACGAATTTGCAGAAAGCTTCTCAAAGCCAAATTCAGTTATCAGTAAAATATCCATAAGGGAAGACTCTAGGAATTGTAGAACATTAGAACTTTCCCTCCCCACTGAAAAAACATTCTAGGCTGATTCTAGGGAAATTACCTAGAAACAATGGCTTGTACACATTTAAAAGTTTTTAAAGTTCTTGATTGCATATATACAAAACGGTTTTCTGAAATATTTATGAACAAATCGCTTTCATTTAGTCCTATAAGAGGGTTCTAGATGGATAGATCAGAGAAATACTAGATTTTTGCAAAATATTTGGTGAGTCTCCCATGATAAATAATAAAATGTGGGTTGGAAAACAATAAAAGTAGATGTATTCACAACAAATCTTATCACCATTCCCAAGAGTTATACAAATATAAAACTAGAGGGATAATTCTATCCAGTTAGAGGCAAGAGTCTATATGCTTAGATGTTTAGATACGAGTTCTTAGATTCTGTCTGCTATTGGTCCTGTTCATTTCCCGAATTTTTATTAATGTCTTGGAAGAAGACATGGAATATAGGCTTATTGGAGCTGCAGATGGCACAAAGCTGGAAGAAATCATTAATATAATAGATAGCAGAATTGAAATTCAGAATGTTTTCAACAAGCTGTGCCCAAGCCAAAAAGATGAAATGTAGTCAGGAAGATAATCAACCATTTTGTTATATACCATTTTAAAATGGTAGCACAAGTTCTTAACAGAAGAGACCTCATTTTCGTGGCAGTTTATGTGAAAGCTATTTGGTGAATTTAGTTGACGTCTAGCTGACATGAACTAACAGTTTTGAGTTGTTGCTAAATTAGCTTGTACACATTCAGGCTGCATTTAATGGGCACATTTAGGTGTGTGTTTTTAAGGTTGTGTTCCAGGAAACACTGGAAACCAAGAGGCTTAGTAAGTGCTCCATGAAATAAAGGGGTTAGTTTCCGTGGTCAGTTGTACTTGGGTCTTCGGTACCTCACACACAGTAAAGTGTATGGTGAATGAAGGAAAGCATTAATAGATGCAAAGTATCCCACCTTTCTTTGACCACAGAACTCTTTGTCTGCAGAAAATCTCTTTTGAAACATAATTTGGGAAATGCAGACTGAAAACTCGAGGTGATAGGTCCACTGTGTTCTGTTCAATCAAATTGCATCTGGAAGACTGTTTTCAAATCTTGGTACCATATTTTGAAGAGATACTGGCAAAATGTAGGGCTCAGAAAAGGATGTTGAGGGTTTAGAAATCATCGCATCTAAGGAGCAGTTTGAGAAATACTTAGATGTTTAAAAGGTAAAGCAGAAGTCAAAGAAGAGACAAATATCATTTTATGGTGTTCTGGAGGTAAAACTAGGGCCAGTGAGCCAATATTATAGGAGGTTCCTTTGGACTTAATAGAACAAGTTTCTCCTGACTGTAGCTCTTCATCAATGTGAAAAAGTGAGCACCCGTAACTGATGAGACCATCCATCAAGAAACCTGAGGAGAGACGGTGTCGTGGCTCACACCTGTAATCCCAGCACTTTGGGAGGCCAAGGTGGGCAGATCACTTGAGGTCAGGGGTCTGAGACCAGCCTGGCCAACATACTGAAACCTTGTCTCTACCAAAAATATAAAAAATTAGCCAAGTGTGGTGGTGTGCTTCTGTAATCCCAGCTACTCAGGACACCGAGGCAGGAGAATTGCTTCAACCTGGGAGGTGGAGGTGGCAGTGAGCCAAGAACATGCCACTCCGGCCTGGGTGACAGAGTGAGACTCCATCTCAAAAAAAAAGAAAAAAGAAATAAACCTGAGGAAAGAATCCCCCAATTTGGATGGGAGCTTGAACAAGTTGACCTCTCAGATCCTGGCCCTCCCTAGGTACAAAAGGCATGCTCATCTGGTCCTCTGTGTAAGCAAAGCAAAGCCATGCCAGGTATCCCTATAGCATTTGACTTGGTCCATGGGTGCAGGAATAACTGTCACCCACCATGCTCTCTCTATTACCTTCCATTCTCACTCTGCCCAGTCCACATACATGGTGGTCATCAGAGCCTACAGCTGGCCCACCCAGCACTGCCTCTTCCTGCTCAGAAAAGGGATTTGCAGACCTGGGGCCAGCCCCCATGTGACCACTTTTTGCTCCTTTACAGGTCTGGGGAGCACACAGCCCCTCTTCAGCCTGGAAGCCTGCCAGGGGATCCTGGCGTTACTGGACGTATCTTTTCAGGTTTGTGGGTGGATGGGTGCTTTTGGTTGAGAGCTTCACTCTGGAGCTAGGAAGAGTGGATTTGAATCCCATCCCCAGCCCTTGCCAGTTGCGGATCCTGGACAAGTTCGCTGAGCCTCATTATGCTTATCTGGAGCATGGAGAGAGTGTTGAAACTTACTTGGTAGGATTAATGTGGGAATGCAAATGGGACAGTACAGATAAAATTTGGGAACAGAGCTATCATCTAATAGGTGACCAATATCGGTCATCCATCACAATAATCTCATTTCCTGGGAATGAGGATGAGGCAGCTATAAGGTGGTGGATAGTAACAGCTCTCCAGGTTTACAAGAGCCTTTCCAAAGCCTTAGGGCCATATGTTTTCCATTTAACAACTGGGTGGTGGCTGCACCCATGCATAGACCAGGAAACCAGGGCTCCAGGAAGTTAAACAACATGCTGTGAACTCAGTCGTCCTGTTTCTCAACCCTGCAATATTTCTAGCAAACGCACTGCCTTTCTAAGTGGATAATTGTAATTAAAGTTTGATCATCCATACTATGGAGAGACATATTGAATAGGTAGCCTAAGGGAGGTTGTAAAAACAAAAACAGTCTGCAGAAACTCAGAGACAGTGCAGGATTAGGTGTACAGGTACAGGCATGGGGCAGGTCCCAGCCCTGTAACCAGCTGTATGAACCTGAACAAGATCAGACCTTCTCCAAGTGCTCATTTCATCAGCTAGAACATGGGGGAGTTAATGCCTACCTCACCTACTACAGGTGAAGTGTGTAACTCAGTGATAGATTCATGGTGAGGGCTCAAACAGAGATGGGGTATGGTGGTACTTTGACCCAATGTCTCTGATGCTAGGGGTATCTGGACATGGTCTACAAGGCCAACCATTAAACTTAAAAAATGTAAAAGGCATCCTTAGCCACCCTGTGCCTGACTCCTTCCATAAGCTTTTTTTTTTAAAAAAAAAAATAATGAAAAAAAGTTACTATTTTTTAATTTAAATCACATCTAATTGGCCATGTCAAAATATTCTGCCTCACTTAATGCTAGCTGTGGTCATCACTATCATCACCTCCACCACCACTGCTTCTCCCAGTACTGCTGTGCTCTGACTTATTCTGCTTTTCCCTAGCAAGGATGGAGGGAGCCCTGGGCTATCTGACCAGTGAGATAAGGCCAATTGGTGAGATCAGATATGATGAAATATTGAATGAGGCCATCCACAGATTGCCAATTGCTTTGTGGAGGGCGGGTCACTGCCTCCAAAGCATGGATGGAACTCTCCCTGGTAGCTTTTACCTTAACCCTTTCATCAGCTTAATGCCTCGGGTACTATGAGCATCCAGGAATTCAGGGACCTGTGGAAGCAGCTGAAGCTCTATCAGGTAAGAACAAGTCTAACCACCGCTCTTTGGAAGATGGTGTAGAAATGGCAATTCTGCAAAGCTATACGAGACACTTCTTTCCTCTGCAGCCGTTTATATCCAACTCACCAAACCTTCTCCTCTCTCCCATCCGTGAGCATTTCTTCCATCGGTCTCTTCCAAATTCAGGGAGCCTGTGGCAGTAGTCTCCTGAAGTTCCAAAACACACATCTGATCATGCTGCTTTCTTTCAAAATGCTTTTTAAGACTCCCATGGGCTTCAGAGAAAGACCAAACTCCTTGGCACACTTGGCATTTAAAGTCTTTCATAAAATTGCTCCTTCTTGCTCTTCCAATCATTGCTTACAACTCACAACTCTCCCACTTGTCTCCTGAGTCAGAAAACTGGAATCACTTTAGAGTGTGGATAATGTGCTTATGTTAAGCACATTTACCCACACCAAGGCTGTCTACACCCCATGAGAAAAAGACTTTTCTCTTTCTCATAAGCCTTGTTCTGTAGGAAACATGAGGTGGTGGGATCCTGGCATGGACTCTGTCATATCCTTATCCTGGCAGCAGGCCCTGCATGTAGAGCCTCAGATATCTTCAACAGCCCCTCTGCAGTGCTGACACAGGGGCACACAGGGTCTCTCACATGGTGCTTGGAAATGCCTGGCTTCCTGAACCTCTTATTTGGTTCTTTGCAGGAGGTTTTCTACAAGCGAGACAATGGGTCAGGATACCTGAGCTGGGCACAGCTGCAGACTGCCATGAGGGAGGCAGGTAGGCACAGGAAAAGCTGGAGCTGTGGGCACACACGGGCAGGGTGCACACTCACCAAGCAGGGGAGGGGGGATGCGTGGCATGCTGAAGTAACTCGAATGCACAGTGTGACTCTCAAAGACGTAGCTCTGCAATCAACACAAACATTTTTTATGACTGTCACTGTGATCGGAGCCAACATTGATGGACGGTTTGCACATTCAACTTCTCATTTAATCTTCAACACCACCACTTTGTTATAATCCTCACTTCACAAAGGAAGAGATTGAAGCTAGTGGCCTGGGGTTTAAATCCAGGACTACCAGGCTCCAGAGCAGGTCCTTTTGAGCACTTAGCAGATTGCCTCCTTCCTTGAAGGCCAATCACATCCTTGATGAAAAGAGCCCCATGCTGATTGCCTTAATAGGCAGGGGTGAGGAATAGGGATTAAATAAAATAAATTGGTTAAACAATTAAATGATTCAAAATGAACCCTATAAAAGATTTCTATGCTATCAGGATTCAGGTCCCTAAAGTGGAGGGACAATTGAAGGGGCCTTGGGCAGGAGGGGAGCTGGGTGCAAGCTCCCAGCACCCACAGCAGGAGCCTGTGCTCAATGCAGGAATCGTGCTCAGTGATGATGTCTGTCAGCTGATGCTCATCCGCTATGGCGGCCCCAGCCTCCAGATGGACTTTGTCAGCTTTGTCCACTTGATGCTGCGTGTAGAGAACATGGAGGGTGAGCTGGCGGGAAGTGGGGGAGGGCCAGGGCTTCCTCTGCTGCCCATGACTTCCTACCTGTCTCTATTTTAAGCACAAGAGAAGACAGTTGCCATCCCAGAAACAGCAGACCAGGGAAGCTATTAGGAACTCCAGCCAAGTGCCTGTGAGGCCTGGCTGCAGATACCCAAACTCATTTGTTCCCTGCCTTATTCCAGAGGCAAAGGTTTGAAGTGGCTCACTTATTATAGGTGTGGCTGCGTGTGGTCACGTGTAGTCTGACATTGGGTTCCGTCACATTTTCCGAATGGATGTGGTTAAGGTGAGATACATGGGAGGAACTAATTCACAATGTTTCCAATATACACATTAGCTGTGCTTCTTTTCTGCTGCATTTTCACAGATGTCTTCCAAAACTTAACCCAAGATGGCAAAGGGATATACCTCCAGAAGTCAGAGGTAAGTCTTGCCCCAAGGAAGTGGCTCATGTCATCTTAGGTAGAGGTGGCCCTTGCAGGACCATGCTCTTGTGAAGAGAAGAGCTCTGGGGACCCTTTATTCTGCTGAATTTGAAATAGAGCACTACATTCATTACACTCACTCGTTCATTCATCCATCAGATGTTTTCTGAACACCCACTTTGTGGCAGGCACATATGAAAGGATTGGGAGACTAACTTAGTATATCCAGTAACTCTGATTGCAATAATGCCATGTGACAAATTTACACAACTTCAGCAGCATATGTATGACATGTACTTATTTAGCCTCCAAGTCACATGGCTGGTTGTCAGTGGATTTCACCTGGCTTGCTCATGCATCTGTGGGTTGGCTGAGGGCTTTGCTGGGTACTGAATTGAGGAAACCCTGCCTAGGTTTGCTCTTCTCAGGGAAACAGGAGAAATATAAGAAAACGAGCTTAAATGTGCAAGGCCTCTGAAACCAAGGCTTCAGTCTGGCACACCTGCAAGTCATTCTGTTGTCCAAAGCACTCACATGCCCAAGCCCATTTGCTCCTCTTTCATATCACTTTGTAGGCATAGCAGGATGTGGACACAGATGGGTGAGGACCTGGGTCCAAAAAAGAGCTGTAGCTCTTTGTACTGTACTGTAGACAGTAATGGGAGAACTAGTCTAGATGGGGTTCTACCAAGGACTTTCTGGAGAAGGTGACATTGAAATTGAAGCCTCAAAGACAAGCTGGTAGAAGGGAGAGTAGGAAAGGTCTGGGCTAGATGGAACAGTATATGCAATCCAGGCAGGAACACAGAGAATGAGGAGAAATGGCTCCAGATGAGTCTCAGGACATCAGGGTCAGATGAGGCAGGACCTACAGGCCACAAATAAACCTCACTGAAGGGCTAGCGTAGCCTTCCCCACATGCGCAGCATCTGGTTTTATATTTAGTCTTGTTTTTGTGACGTCTTCCCAAATCTCATACAGTTTGTTAAGTGAATGAGGTGATATGCCTAGGAGAAGACAAATTCATGTATAAAACTGATTATCTTCCCTGATCATTCAAAATGCACTGATATATTGAGCAGATGCTAGGTGCCAGGTGTGGCGCTAGGTAATGTTCATTTCAAGGACATTAGAGTCTGGAGTTCAATCCTCTGCTCTTTTTTTCTGCAACCCTTCCTCTGGTTAGGGCACTTAGAAATGATTCAGTAAAAGCTGGAATGTCTTTCTTAATCTCAAATGTCCATTTTATGGAATTACTTTGCAAGCTTTTGAGACCTGCAGTTTATGTCACCCCTCAATCCCTCCAAGATTCGGTGTGAAGTGGGTGTGAAGTGGGATTCCACTGGAGGGCCAATGGACAGAATTATCTGAGCCCATCCCTGAACTGCTTAGCCCCACTCTTGAGTGCTGAGTCATCACTCCTGATCCCAGGTAGTCCATCCATAGTGGCAGGCTCAGGTCTGGGAGAATAGGACAACACAAGTGTGGCACCTGAAACAGGACAGTCCAACACTGAGCAGAGTCCAGTGGGCAAAGAGTGATCACAGGAAGAGAACTGTACTGGGGTTTGAGAACTGGATCGAAGCCACAACACTCCTTGTAACTAGCTTGGGGACCATTGGCAAATCACATTAAATCTTGGCCTCAGCTGCCCCACATGTGACATGAGTGGAATTAGGTGGTCTCTGAGATTGCCTCCAGCTTTGACTATCTCTGGCTCAGTGAGGATCAGGGCCACCCAAGGTCTGCAGGGAATGGCAGCCACCTTGTTGGATTTCACTCTGAGGCTTTCCCTGACACCATTGGTAACTTCACTATTCTCAGCTTTATCATTCTTTGGGATTGGCCCGGGAAGTAGTTTCCCCAGAGGTCCCCTGTATATGAGTTAGAGGGGTAGTTCATCACACCCACATAAAGCTGTCAGACCAACGGTCCCATAAATGTAAACATGTAGAATATGCTTAAATGGATTTCTGCTACCCTGCCAGTTTGCACACCTGCACAGAGCTGGCACAAGCATGCCAAATTGAATTCATGGGAAAAAAATTTCTTTGAGAATTGAATATAGAATCAGCCTGTATTTGGTTGTCATCATTCATAGGCACTGTGAGAAGTCAAGGTTGATTATATTTCAGGTTGATTTATACTTCCTAATGGATGGTATGGTCCCTCTGGCTAAACCATCCATTAATGTTCTGTCTCCGCGGCTCCCCAGGATTGTGGGGTGGGGAGGCCCAGGTGAGAGGTGAGCCTGAACTGATTATCATTTGCTTTCCTAACATGTCCAGTGGATGATGATGGCATTGTACTCCTGAGAAGGCTGAGTCTCATCTGCCTTCACTGAGGACTCTGCATGTGGTCCAAGAGTAGCCTTTGGCTGAGACCAACCTACATCCACCCTACTCACTGATCTTCAGAACCGCCTCACCAGCCATCACCTTCTCAGCTGGGAAGATTTCTCTTCTGCAGCCCCTCCCTTGGACGGCCAGCATGCAGAAAGGGAAGGGAGGCAGTAAAGAAAAAAAAAAAAAGATTGCATCAGATTTGTAAAAGCCAGCCGTCCTTCCCTGGGGCCACAACCTTGTTACAAGCAGAGATGTTACCTGACATGGCCTAAACATTCTGACTCCAGAGCTGGTATGCTTAGCCTCTACACAACACTGCCTCTGTGGCCTCAAACATAAGTGACCGTAGACATGCCACATGTTCTCATATGTGGGGTAATATGTGCCATATGTTCTCATCTAGGTTTCAAGGTCTGAAGAGGGAATGAAATATCCTTAGACATTTAGTCCCAGCATCTGCAAATTGATAGAGACATAGGCTAAATTTCAGTTGTTTAGACATGGGGTCAGGAATATAGCAGGCTTTCAGAAACACAGAAAATAAGAGAATTGGCAGAGTGCAGGTAGGGTGGGCTGGCTCTGACATCTGAGATCACGGGGTAATCTTCTGCTGACAATATCTCCATATGATTGGATTTAGGGGAACCCAGTGGACTTAAAGCACCTGAGTTCTCAAAGGGCTTCCTGCTTGTGACAGGTATCAGTCTGTTTACTGGACCTATAGACTATCAAATCCACTTCAAATCCATCCAGAAAATCTCAGTCTATCCACTTCAAAGAACAAAAACACACCCATTTATCAAGCTCTTGCAATAGGTCGAGCATCTGCTAGGTGCTGGGGACACAGAGCTGACAGTCTCCTGGGGGGTGTTGACTGACAGGTGTTCTGTGTTCAGATGACTGACAGGTGTTCTGTGGTGCACTGTGACGTGGGAATGCACACAGTGCTGTGAAAACACAGAGAGCCAACTAGCACAACCTGAGAGGGCCAGGGGAGGCTTCCTGGCAGAAGTTTCCCTTTAACCATCTTAAAGAGAAAGAGGCACTAGGTAGGAAAATAAAAGAAAAATGATGTTTCAGACAGAGGGTACTGCACATGGGTGGGGGGGGGAAGACACTAGGACCGGGCGCGGTGGCTCACGCCTGTAATCCCAGCACTTTGGGAGGCCAAGGCGGGTGGATCACCTGAGGTCAGGAGTTCGAGACCAGTCTGGCCAACGTGGTGAAACCCCATCTCTACTAAAAATACAAAGAAAAAAAAATTACCCGAACATGGCGGCAGGCGCTTGTAATCTGCTACTCAGAAGGCTGAGACAGGAAAATCACTTGAACCCAGGAGGCAGAGGTTGCAGTGAGCCAAGATCATGCCAATGAACTCCAGCCTGGGCGACAAAGAGTGAAACTTCACCTTAAGAAAAAAAAAAGACACTAAAGCAAGGGATGAAACGGAGTGCCCAGAACACAGCAAGAGGTTCAGAGAAGCCGGAAGTTATCTCTATTGTAAGAGAGCCAAGACCACTCAGGCCGGCAAGGGCTGATATCCACAGCATCCGCCATGGCGTCTGGGTCCTATCCTGAGAGGCTGAGCCATCATCCCAGAATTCTAAACCTGGTCATGAGACGCCTAATCCTTTCCTCGATACCAGAAAAGCTAGGAAGTTAACAGAGTACAGGGGGAGGGAGGTTCAATTCCCTGCATTGGCCCTTAGTTCAGGGGACCTTGATCAAATGGTTTAACCTTTTTGAATCTCTGCGGCTTCATCAATAACATGGTGATGACAATATCGACCGCATAGGGCTCTAATACAGTCTAGATGAGATAACATATATAAGCATTTATGGCATTTGGCAGTGCACTGAAAAATTATGAGCTCCACAGATTTCTTTGGGGGAGGTTGCCTTCCTTCCAACATTTGTGATATGTACAGTGGCTTTATGCCAACGCTAGGTGGTGCACAATCCCCACACCAGGACGTCTTCCAGATGCAGGACCACAGATGACAGCTTCAGCACAAGCTAGTCTGGGAAACCCTGGCTAATGTAATACTTTGCCAGCCTAACTCAGTCCAAAAGGCCAGCTTCAGCCTCACGTGTATTCACTTGTCTCTCCTTGTTTTTTCTGACTAATGTTTAATATATGTACTGTACTCTATATTATATATTGCATTCATTTCTGATATTTATTTCATTTAAGCACTCAGCTTGCATGCATCTCCTTGAAGCATATGGTGGCACTCAGCGCACACATCCTGGCATCCTGGCACCTGGTTTAGTATATAGCTCAGGTTTAGTATCTACCAATTTAATGAATGAACAATTTTAAGGTAATTCAGGTTCATCCTGTCATTTAAAAAGTCAGTCTCTTCTCAAGTTGCTAACTGAAAACATCAATATATAACGTTTGCTTAAAGACACATACGACTTCTCACTGAAGGATCCCTCTCTGGTGGCCTAAAGTTTAGAGTCATTCTGATGCCAAATGGCAGGTCCTAACTCAAGGAGCAGTTGAAACCATCACAGATGCTGTCTGAACATGTTCTTCATATCCTGAAATTCAACATACTAGGGCATCACTTTCTCTTCCCCATTCAGACTTCCTTTTCCTGGGAAGATCAACCATTGGGTCAAATTCCTGAGCCTTTTGCTTTCAGGTCACAAATCGCAGAGTGAGTAGTGGGAGGTGGGTGGTTCTAGGCCAGGCCCAGGCTCAGGGGAGGCCTGGTCGTTAAGCTCCATGCTGACTCCCTGTCTTCATCTTCATCTTAAGTCTGGGCTTGCCTTGTTTCTCCTGCTTGCAGAAGAAAATTATGCCAGAAGCCACACAGCCCAAGACAGGCAGGGTGGGATGATGGAAAAGACAGGCCTCACCTTGATGAGGGGTCTGGGTGTTTTTGGTTCTTAAAAGCTATCCATTGAGCCTTAGACAAGTTCTCTAACCTCAATTCATCTATGATAAAATCCAAAATCCTTGGATGACGGCTTAGCCTCTCGGGATAGGACCTGGATGCCATGGCAGATTCTGTAGGGATCAGCCCTTCCCTGCCTGAGCGACCTTGGCTCTCTTACAACTGAGATAAGTTCTGAATTCTCTGAATCTCTTGCTGTGTTCCAAGCACTCTGTTTTATCCCTTGCTTTTGTGTCTTTTTTTTTTTTTTGCCATGTGCAGCACCTTCTGTCTGGAACATCATTGTCCCTTTACTTTCCAGTCTAGTGCCTCTTTCTTTTTAATGTGTGCTATTGGAGGGAGTTGGACTGTACAACTTCTAAATCTGCACCTGGCCAGAGATAGCAAATTTGCCAAGAGCACAGGCTGGACTTTACAAATGTATCTGCTTAAGTCCAGCTGTGTCAATCACCTTTGGCAAGTCATCAGTGTCCAACGGTATGGTCCAGAGGCCCCTGTGAGGATCTTGTGCCATCACACACATAAGCTGATGGGCATCATGCCAGGCCTCAATGTGTGGGTCACTGTTACCCTTCATGGCCATGTTAACCCCACAGGAGAGTTCCACCTCCGCTCTGCAATGGTCTGGGAGGACCTTTCTTCAATAGGGGAGAAGCCAGGTGGTTTCTGAACCAGAGGAAACCAGAGGTTACCAGCCTCTGGTGCCTGAAATCCAAGCTTCAGTTCTGCTTGGAAACATGTATTTGAGGACTTCCTCACAAAGGAATCATTTCCCAGAAGGGATCTTTTGGCTAAATGAAATAATTAAAGTGATCCTTGTTTTTAGTTTGACTTCCACTAGTCACACATCAAGCCTCACCTGAGGCGGAGCCACACCCAGTGTGATGTTCCTCTCACCCAGCTATTGAGACCCCTTGGACTATCGGCAGCAACAGCAAGAGGCAGCTCTGCAGAGGCTGTGCAGCCAGCAGTAGCAGCAGCACACACACAGGCAGCCCTGGTGGGTCAGGCTGCAGGACCCTGGGCCAGCCCCCTCCACTCCTTCACCCTTAGTATTGCACACACTTGGAGAAGTGGGCCCGTGTCAGCCTCTGTGGAAGGCTGGCTCGTGCACGAATGCTTACTCCTGTTTTAAGTGGCTGTTGGGTTCCCTGGGTTCTGCCTGGCTGGTTGACTCATACAGAACATTCTTTCCCTGGTCCTTGGCTTCCTTGAAAAGAGAGGAAAGGGAGGAATCAGAGATTGGTAGAGTGTTGTTGGCCTGGGGTTTAATGCTGAGAGGGCTATGGTATTCTCAGGGTGCAGATGCTCTTCTGCTCAAACTGCTGCCCCTCTGCCTAAGCAGATAAGCTTCTGGAGGGACTGGCTGCAGGGAAGCCTCCTGAGGACCCCCTTTGTGAAATAATGACCATGCAGTTAGGTCTGCAGTCATTGACTAGAAAAGGCCCTGTGAGACTGCTGCTCAGGCCTGCTCATTGCTGCAGCTCCTTTCTCTGTGGGGTGTGTGTGTGTGTGTGTGTGTGTGTGTGTGTGTGTGTCTGATACCCAGGGTACCAGAAGTAACAGCTTCTTCAGATCAGATTGTACCAGGTCAGGAGCTATAATAAAAGGTATGAATTCTGCAAGTTCTGCTACAAAAGTTGGGGATCCTTAAGGGAGTGAAAATGATCAAGGGGTGGGCTGATAGAACTGAAAACATGCTTGACCAGAGGCCAGAGGACTGGAGCTCATGTCTTCTCTGCCACCAACTGAATGTGTGTGTGTGGCCTGAGGAAAGCCATTTAACCTCTGAGCCTTAGTGTACTCATCTTCTGAACTGGGATGTTAACTCCTGCCTCATGGGACAGTGGCAAAGATGAAATCAGACTGTGAATGTGAAAGACCTTTGCAGATTGTAAAGTGGGGTTCAGAATTGGGGTTTACTATTCTAGTAGACAGACCTGGTGTAATGTGGATTGGCTGGGATTAGAATGTTGGATTCTGCTCTAGTAAATAAGACAAATAAATCTGGAGGATAGTTGAAACTAAGTAGAAGCAAATGCTTGTGAGCCATGTTAGGCATAGATAAAGATGTGACGCATGTGTGTGTATGCACAGATAGGAAGGGACGAAGGAGCTGAGTGGGCACTGAATATTCATGACACACACTAAATATACATGAGGCATGCGAAGCGCCAAGTGCTCAGGATACACACGAGACCCATGAGGCACTCGATCTTCAATGAGCCACCTGCTGGCAATGCCATGATCCCCTAGAAATGCAGATAAACACCCATGTCTCTCAGCAGATGAACTGATAAGTTACCTCTGTGGCCAGTCATACTTGTCCCATGTCTCTCTGATGGGATTGGGCCCCAGTCACCATCCGTCTTTTGAGCCCCTTGCTCCGACCTCAGCTCTGGTTCTTATAACCACACCATGAGCAGGAAGTGTTGGCTGAGTTCAGGACATGTGAGCATGGCATGACTCAGGATGACGTATGTTTTCCTTCTGTCCTGTTGTACAGTGTTCTAAGTGTGTTGTCCTACCCTGTCCCTCTCCCCTTGCTTCTTGCTGTGTGTTTGAAATTGACCTAATCACCCATGTGATCTCAGCCCCTTTGGTCTCTGAGCCCTTCTGATCAGCTAGCTGACCAGAACAGCTAGCTGGTATAAACCTGAGTCATTTCCCCCCATGACACTTGGGGTCAGAACTTGGGAGCCGGAGCTCAAGGCAGTAGAGCTGCTTCCTTCAAATTGTCTGGCTTGGCTTCTGAGATATGAGTGTTGTGTCTATAGGTGTGTGAGGGTACAGGGGTAAGGGGCTCCTGCTGGTTCCACTGATAAGGACTATTAATTCTCCCTCCACCAGCTCTCATCACAGTATACCACATCCCAGAGAGAATATTGAGCAATGCCTATGACCACATGCCGAGGACAGCTTCCCAGCGACGCTGGCTTTCCCTCCCTAGTTCTAAAAGGACAGACAGTGAAGTAATTTCAGCAAACACCTGACAGACTCTCATGCCCTCCTGGCTGCCCTGACCCATGTTCCAAGAACATCACCCTACTGTAGCTCCTCCAAATGTCATCCATGAGAGGCTACCTGTTAGAGTTCGGCCTCAGTCACTTACTGGCTGTGTGACTTAAGCAGGTCACCTAAACATTTTGTGCCTTGGTTTCTTCATTAGTATTAATGACATTTAACCTGGTTCC